CAGCAGTAATAGCCAAGGAAATGGAAGCAAAATCTCTGCTTCTGAAGGCAGCTATGCAAGGAGGGGAAACTAGGATTGTGAGGCTTACTCCTCTAAAAAATAGGAGGAACTGATACAATGAAGTATAAGCTTTAGGAAGAGCAGATTTATTTATTATTTATTTATTAATTATATTTATATCCCGCCCATCCCGCGAACGGGCTCTTTATTCATCCATAATGTTTACTAAACGCAACGACTTGGCAACAGTGACCCACGTGATGGTTACCTCGAGATTGGATTACTGTAATACCCTCTACATGGGGCTGCCCTTGTCCCAGATCCAGAAGGTGCAGCTAGTGCAGAATGCAGTGCCGAGGCTGTTGCTGTGTCGTCCTGTGTGGGAACACATCCAGCCCGCCCTAAAAGAACTGCACTGGCTGCCTATAGCATTCCGGATTTGGTTCAAGGTGCTGGTTATTACCTTTAAAGCCCTTTATGGCCAGGGACCTGCATGCCTGAGGAACCACCTTTCCCCTTATGTTCCCCCAGAGAGCACTGCAATCTGGGACCCAGAATTGGCTGCTCTTCCCGGACATCAAAGAAGCCAGGCTTGTGACAACAAGGGTCAGGGCTTTCTCGGTGGCAGCTCCATTCTGGTGGAATGAGCTCCTGGAGGAGATCAGGGCCCTGCGGTACCTGTTACAGTTCCGCGGGGTCTGTAAAATGGAGTTCTTCTGCCAGGCTTTAGGAGCCGCTGCCACCACTGCCACCACTGACATCTGACAGTTACGGAGAGTGAGCCCGGCCCTTGGGGTCCCCCCAAGTATAGCCTGACCCAAGTGCCTGGGACATCTGAACAAGACTAAGAAGTGGATTGTACATGAGGAATCAAATGCTAGCACTTTAATAAGCTGTATAGTTGTGGTTTTAAACTTTTGTACGATTGGGTTTTATATGGTATATTGAATTATTATATTGTATTCTTTTATATTGTGCTGTAAGCCGCCCTGAGCCAGCCCTGTTGGGAGGGGGGGGTAAAAATCTAATGAAATAAATAAATAAATATACAAATAAATGATCTTGGGCCAGTCACTATCTCTCAGCCTAACCTGCATCACAAAGCTATTCTAATGACAAAGGGTGGGGGAGGGGGGGAAATGTATACTTCCCTAAGTTCCTTGCAGAAAGGATGACTGTGGTGACCTTTCTCATTCACACAGTTCCTACCACCCTCCACGACCTCTCTCCCACAGATTCAGGGTTACAGGTAAGTCAGGCAGTCACATGTCACTACCCCTTGCCCCTTTTAAATTATAGAGAGAGCCATGACCCCTTTACACCCCAGATCCTCTCACTCATCAAGGCAGTCCCCTTTAATAATCACCGCTCACGCAAAAACATGACAGACCTTTAAGAGCTGGGGGGGACGCTTCCGGTATGGCACGATGACGAGCGGGTGCTCGGTTTGCTCCGAGCCACCAGTCCCACTTTTGCTTTCTTTTGAGCCTCCCGAAAGTCAGGAGAGCTCAACCAGCCCTTTGGGGGAGAGGGCTGGAGCAGGGGGCTCTGTCCTCTGGCCCATCCCATATTCGGCAAGCAGGGGGGTGACCAGGACTGCACTGATGGGGGGGGAAAGAACATAGCCGCCATGTTCTGAATAGACACGGCCATCCGGACTTGTTTTTAAATTCATGGGGATGTGTAACTGCAGCAACACAGAAGAAGAAGAGAAGAGGAGAAGTGGAAAGGTGAAAAGAAAACGGCCCCCCAAATAAATGTGCCCAAATATGTGAAGTAGAGTGGCCGGGAAATATACGGGATTTAATTGCAGTTGATATTCCGGTGGGGGAAAGAGAAGCTGGTGCTTTTGCATGGTACTGGTTCTGGCAAGGAGCTAAAATGAGGATAATGGCTTGGTAAAGAGATTCTAGGATAATACGAAAATTTTGTGGTTGGATCCTGAAAGAGTTTGTTTGAAATGGAGCCCATAGTGAGAAAAGAGGAGGAACTTGACGAAAACATGGAAGTCGGGGAGATGACTATTGAGCAGTTCCTTAGAGTTGTGAAAGAGGCGGTGCAAAAAGGTTGTGAAGAAGCATGTGCAGAATTAAGGAAGAAATACAACATACAAGTAGAAACAGAGGAAAAGGGAAAGCAGGAGCAATTTTTTGTGAAGGAGGTTCCAGAGGAGGGTCAAACAAAGAACAGGGATCCTGTTAAGGAAGATAATTTGGGGAGTGTACAAATTAATGACTATGTAGAACCTAAAGGTTTGCCAATGGAAATCAATGACTATGTAGAACTTAAAGGTTTGCCAATGGAAAAAGTAGGAAAGAACTCAAGAAACAAATTGCCTGGTATTAAATTGGGACTGCCAAAAGAAAATAGACAATGTTTAAAGCCTGAACGAGAGAGAGATAAAAGGACCAAAAGAAGGAAACGACGGGCGTGAAAATTTAAAGGAGACAATAGATCTTGGAAAATATTATGGTTGAAAATCAGAGAGGAGAGGCACGGTAGTCAAGGAATGTTTAAAGAACGTAGACATGTAGACATGCTGAGACAGAAAAGGAGACTGCAAATGTTCAAGAGGAAAAATGAAACATTTCTCGTCCTGTGCTAGTAAATTTGTAATATATCTATTGATTTGTGCGTGCCAACGTAGGTATGTGGGACAAACGTCTAGAATGCTGAGAACCCGGATTCTTGAACACAAATCAAAAATCAAACACAAGCACCTCACGGCTCCAATGGTACAACATTTTGTGGAAGTCAATCATGAC